TACTGCTTTCTGCTCCTCTGTCCATTCATTCATCTTTCCCAGAAGCTCAAATTGTGCTCCATATGCTTCCCACGGTACCTTCCCATCAAATTCCCGTGGCTTCCTTCGTACTAGATCACCCCTATTGCTAATCTTTCTGGAATCTTGTGACATGTTACTAGCGTCACGTGACTTCCGCTGTCGTAACAGATGATTTAACATATAGTTCTTTTAATAAAAAACATTTAATTATGTATGATTTTATCCATTTAAATGGCACTATTATTTTATTACAAGAAATTTGTGATAATATCACCATATATTGAATAACTATCACATTGCTAGCAAGTACTAAAAAACAATATATTGAAGTATTTTAATTAGCCATACTCATTTTTAGTGTGGTTTATGTAGGTTGCTTGATTTGATTACTTATGATAGAATTTTATTAATTGTTAGGAATGAGTGAATTCTTATAGTACAACAGAAACTATATGAACATATTACACTGAAATAATTTTTAATTTATAGAGAAATTTTCTATTATTTTTTGTTCTTTACTAGTTGAAAAAAAAGTCTATAATATTTTATATCACATGTACTGGTTAATTTGAAACAGTAAACAAGCATACATCTTATATATGAAAAATATTAATGTTAATTATAGGCTCAGTCTCATACTGAGATAAAAGTACATTTCATACCTATTGTAAACAGTCCGTCAGTGCACCTATATAGAACTATAACTATCAATAATATTCATTTAAAGAAAGTAAAGAAGGACATCTGAGTTTAACAATGATCTTGTGCTATATTAAAGAAATAAATACAAGCTCATAGTTTTAGATCAAGGAGTATTTGTGTTGTTGGAGTGGTTTAATAACCAATGAGGAAACTAGCTGGGTTCTTTAATAGATGTTTAAACATGGGAACACAATCTTTCACTACATTACAGACAACATACAATACTCATATTTTCTCATAGCTTATCTTAAAGTTTTTGTTTATGTATCTTATTTAAATGTTAAAATATGGTCCATTGACTGTGAAGGAAATGAAAGATAAACAGTAAAAGAAGAATGCTAGACTGAGTGGGTGGAAACAGAAGGTAATCAACCAGTACATATTAGTCGATTAAAACTTCCCCTGTCAGGTCATCTACCTTTATCAAATTAATGTAATTTACGAGTAAGTTAAAACCAAATGCTTAAATGCTAATAGATATCCTGTTTACTTAACAAATGCTTTCATTTATGGAACATTAAGATTTCTGCTAATATGAGTTTTTACTACTGTTTGCTGGGACTAAATTGTAGAATAAGCATATGGTATTAGCACACAATTGTGAAGGCATAGTGATTAGTTCTTGTGAATAAGTAAAGACAGTATATTTATTTATTTAGTTTTGGAAGAACAGAGTTTCTGAAACCGAAAACAATTAGTGGAAATGAAAACAGCATTTTCTATTGATTTCACAGAAAATCCTTAGATTCAAATAATCTCTTTAAGTCTTTAATTAAATTAAGTTATCCATCAAACCAACTTTGAAAAAAGTACATTAAGGGTTAACAATAGTTTTGTCACTGTTAACTGTGATAATGGTCTCCTTACTGTTAGCCTACACTAAATGAAAATACCATGTAACTTCAGTATGTTTTGGTATTAACTCTTGGCATAGATGCGATTAAAAACATTTTCAATTGTACTGGACAGATTAAATGTACTTACTTATATTATTATGTTTTTGATAGCAAAATTAAAGCATAAGCATAGTCCTTCTACACATGATAATACACCATGATAGTAAAATCCCCAGCTTCTAAATGGGAATAGCAGACTACACTGGTCCTGGGTGGTTCCCACTTGTCTTTTCAAAGAACCACAAACCAATGTTTTCTTTATTGCTTATTATGAGTAAATACATGTACTGTTTTCAGAAGTAAATGATATCTGAATTTTTAGAAATACTGTATTAATGTAATAAACTGAAATGAATGTGAAGTGGAAATAAAAGGTAAGGTGGAAGTTTTGAAAAACTGTTCACTCCTTACTTTAAGTTTAATTTTTTCTAACAGTCATTCATTCTTAACTTTTACCTTCATACAATGTTTCTAAAAATCCAAATCTCATAGAATTGTATGTGTATGTTCTCTGACCTCCTGTTCTTCACATTAAAAGATTACACTTATTATAAGTTATTTCTTTACTTTACAGTATTTTCCTGAGGGTAATTTGATTTTCAATTTTGTAGAAGGGGTTTTCAAACATAATCTGATCAAAT